TAGCGAAATCAACGGTCATCAGCTAAAAATGCACCTGGCAGACATACAGTGCAGACAGATATTTGTTGAAGAGAAGAGGGGGGAAATGAAAGGTGAGAGGAGTGAGAAGAGAGTGGCGGGCCTCGATGCTCAAACCCAGGGTCTATTAGAGTCTGATTGGGACCATTAGGAGGGAAAGATGATAGGCGAGCCGCGAGCAGTGCTCCTCCGGCCAGGCTCTACATTAACCACTGCCTGCTCTCTACTTTGTTGAACAGACGGGCTGATCGATAGCAATGAGGAGGAAGGAGAGGAGGAGGGTAGGAGGTGGCGAGGCGAGCAGGAGAGAAAAGAGGTCCAGGTTTACGGGAAGATAAGCTGGGATCGATAGTGAGACAAGGACTGCTGCTGCGTGGAGAGAGAGGACAGAGGAATGTGAGACAAGGCAGGCTCACACTCGCTCACCTCATCAAACCTGACGGAGGGGAACCTGTGTGTGTGTGTGTGCGACAGGACACTTGGGCGAGCATCACCTCTTGCTTGCTTGTGTGTTTCAGTACACTAACAACCGGCAGCAGAGGCCTCTTGTGTGTTTACTGCAACACAGTTAATATACTGTAATTCTCAAAGGAAAGCCATTGCTCAAATAATGGCTGATGTGATTAACAACCCTAAAAGCATTTCAACATAATGTACATTACCACAGCGCTAATTCTATCAGTACAACATGTCAGCTCATCAATATGCTGCTCTGGGTTTTATTTCTCTCTCTTTTTTTGTTTTTTGTTTTTACAGAGATGCTGTTCTTATTTCTCATTCACTAAAATATTCCAACCTCTTCTACTTTAATTAACTTTTAATGTGAAATGTTACAGGAGGCATAGAGTATCACAGACAGCAGCATAACAATGAACACAACAACAAAGGTAAATCAAAGCTGTCCAACACGGATGTCGTATGCTGTGAAGCCCTCTGAGGCAAACTGTGATTTGTGATATTGGGCTTTACAAATAAAACTGAAATTGAATTGAATGAGTTAGGAGTGAGTAATTCTGTTAAAGGAATAATTCCACATGCCAACACATCCAAATCGGTCGACCAATTCATTTGTTCGGTCTATTAATTTCGCGGCTATAGGAACTCGGCTCTGATAGTGGCTGATGGCTGCGCAGCCTCCACCAGTCACACAGGAACGTACTTCACCAACCGGCGCTGAGGAGGGGAAGGTTGTGTTAAATGATCTGTGGGTACAGCTCCAGTGAAAGCTGCTACCGTGTGACTGTGTTTTAGTGTACTGCTCTTCATTTTATGTGTTTACATTAAGTTCTTGGCTGGACTGCAGCAGTGGGTCTGAGTGAATGTCACCACCCTCCTTTTAAAATTAAAAACCCTCGTTTCAAAAGAAAAGCCTTCTAGCATTTAATACTTAGTCATAGTTTTGTCCTCGTCCTTGTATTTGGACTATTTTAAAAACTACTCCACTTGAAATTGTCTTCTTAAATTACATTTGAAGTTTTTTTGGCCTTCTCAAAATGACAAAATACTTGAAAGTAACTGAAATACATATTTTAAATACAAGCACAGGTGAGCACAGGTTTGCAAGGAGGCTCCATACACAAAGTCAAGGTAATGTCCACTGTATACCTGAGAATCTCAGGTTGACTTTGGGGAAAAAATAATAGCTCAAAGTTTAAGAAATGCTCCAACCTTGAGTTTTCTACAGTTAGTTTGATGTTTAGTTCCAGAATTATTTATTTATTTAGGTATTTAATTCATTAAGTTTAATATTTATTGATCCAGATTTAATTATTTAGGTATATTACTTTGACTAAGATATAAAGTTCAACAGTTATCCAGTTTCAAATAAAGTTAAAGTTCATTTTACGACACTGTCAGAATGTTTCAGCGGGGTGTTGGGGGGTGGCTGATATCAGCCAATTATACTACTCTTGGCTTTTTTCTGTTCCAAACTATTGCTATTTTATCGGCCATAAAAGTTCACCATTCAAGATTTAAGATTACTTTATTTGTCCATAGGGAAATTTGACTAGCATAAAGGCTGGACATAAATCTCATTATTTTCTTTTAACCATACACCAACAGAAATGTAACAAGACATTTGTGGTGGTTGAAACTTAACACTTCCTGCAGAACATTAAAAGCCTACCAGGAAAGAGAGGGATTACCGTATGCCCTTTGAGGCACCGTAAGTGTTTTAATGTGGAACATCATTGCAGGGAGAGAGGGAGTTGTGTCACTAAAATATGATAAAATATACTTATGAAAAAAAAGAAGGTAAAATTAGAGATGAAGGTCTGTCTCTCTCTGCAGCTGATGCGTGTAAGGTCTCAGCTGCTGTTTGAGAATTCACAGCAGTAGCTTGTTGTATTACATGAAGCTCAGTGTGCAGGGTTGTGTTAGTGTGCATCAACACAGCAGTTCCTGCAGTGTGATTGGGTGCAAATATAAGTGCAGTACATTTATCTGGGGATACCTGACACCTGTCACGCAGCCTTGATGCACATAACCTCCACCTCCATCTTTCTTGCATTTTTCTCCCCTTCCCCACCCTCCCTCTATCGCTCTCCATCTCCCTCCTTTCACAGCATTTTCCTCCTCCCCTCCCCTTTCTCCCCCTTTTCCTCCCCAAGCCCTCGGTGACTGTGATGGCACCCTGTCAGAGAAAAGCTATTTATGATCGGCGACCAATATCCTCACAGAGATAAACACACACTGTGAGGCACACAGATAGAGAGACAGACAGAGAGCGAGAGAGACGTCCAGAATTATTAGCAAGAATGAGGGATAAGTGCATTGTGACAGTGTGTGAGAGAAACACGCAAAGAAAAAAATATGGATTGAGGAATAGAGCAATGTTGCCCGAGGCTGTTTTTTCACGCCTCTGTGTTTATGTGTGTGAATATCTGTGTGTCCCACTTGGTCGTTGTTGTGGTCACACTACATGTGTGTGTGTGTTTAAGTGCATTCCTGTAGGTGGAAGTTGGCATACATACACATGATTTTTCATAGCCGAGGAAATTTTCTAAAGCCTCCCAGTTTCGCAATCAATCAGACAACTGACTGTAAATGAAAGCTTATCATCACACACTTCAAACATGAGATGGCCACCTGGAACACACACAGTGTAACACGTACGTCTCACACAAAGTGATATCCAGTGTCCTGCTATGATAAGGGCATAGGCTTAGCTTCAGAAATAAAGGAAGTACAATGAAGTGTTGGTTCTGGATTACAAGCCATGATTCTATACAGGAATAGCTGTCTATGAGCTGACTTGTTAGGTTAAAAAAATCTGCAGTTACTGTGGCATATAAGACATAAACCAAATTGTTCGTCGTGCTTTCAAATAACGGCAAAAAACAGAAATGCCATTCAAACCACTTAGTTTTTTTTCTGTCCTTCATCGCCTTATCTTTTTGATTATGTCTAGCTAACGTGTCTTAAAAATTTGAATCAAAATACAGATATTAAGTGGAAATTAAAGACTTATACTTTGATGCATAAACATATAGTTATGCAACGGTTCATATGATAATGTAAGCCCAGTCCAGGCCAAAGATTCGCGACTGCTACTTCACACCAATGCAACTAGATGAGACGGTGTATCATCCCTATGCAACAACTCTATGCAACTGTGTACAGGCAGTGTTCAGGCTTATTTTGTGGCTGAATAGAATTTGTTCCTAGGTTTAGGAAAGTAAAGTCTTGTAGGTTAGGTTTAGGAAAGCAAAGTTACATCAGCTAGGTTTAGGAAATATGATTGGACAGTGTCATGTTACACACTTAACATAAAGTTCCGTAAGTTTAGGAAAGTCAATTTTTGTAGGTTAGGTTTAGGAAAAGAAAAATGGTTGGGCATTGTTGTGTTATGTACTTAATATAAAGTTATGTAGGTTAGGTTTAGGCAGATAAAGTTACTTAGGTTAGGTTAAGGTAAAGAAACACTGTGACAGTGTACCTTAAAATCAACTCAAATTTCAATTAGGTTAAAACGAGACACAAACACTGTTCTCCTGGGGGAAAGTCTTGTGTTTGTCTGACCTATCCATCACACCACAACTTTACACCTTACAGGACTTTCGCTCTTTATTCTGCTTCCTTCTTTATTCCTGTCAGTGAATTGGTAACTTGATCGCAGACTTTACGATTATGTGTATTATATACGGTTATATATGAATTACTGGCTCACGTGGTTTATATAAGAATTCTGGTGCATTGCTTTTCGTAAGTATACATACGAGCAGTGTATGAGAAGAGCTTGAATGCATTTACACTAAAACTTAAGATTATGATGCAAATGATGATTGAGTGCACTAAACACAAATCACAAAAACAAAACATAAAAAAAATTCAGTTAACTTTAAATTCTGTGCATGGTCAGTCACATTCACTTTGCTTGTGGCGGTGCTGCAATCCATAAATTTCTCTTTTCTCCTTCTCCGTCTTTCTTGCTTGTTTTCCACTTTTACCCTTCAGGCGAAATATGGCCGTCTCACTTTCACTCACACATACACAATGAGGAAAAGGTTTGAGCACCCCACGTACACGCACACAATCCCTCACAGCCATAACCTTCAGCATCTTTCTTAACAAAATGCTCCGAAATCCAATATCCTACTCAAATTCAACTTTTTGTTGTCTTTTTTCTTATCTCCCGGCTCATGCATCTCTCTTCACTTTCTCTTTGTCTCGCTCCAGTCTAATTTCTTTCTAGGAGTACCTGAAAATGCCTGTAATTTCCACATCCTGTTTTGACAACTGCCGCCGTCCCCCCTCCTGCACGGTTTTCCTTTCCCTTCTCATATGCACTTTCTTATTTCTTTTGATTTTTTGCTCATTTTACATGCCCACCCCCCACCATTCCTCCTCCTTTCTTCCCTCTGTTCTCCTCTCTCATTCACTCTGCCAGTCGTGCTGTTTGCTGAGGAAGGTTTCAGAGGAGGCAGGAAAGATGCTGCTGTTTTTCTTCTCCACCCTTTGTTCTGTTTTTACTTTCTTACTTGTTTTTCTTCTCCTCCCTCGCGCGTCTGTGTGCCTTCTTCTTAATCCTCCTTTCAGGTTGTTTTTTTTTCCCTCTCTCGTCTTCGTGAATGTTGAATAGACACACTTGACTCAGATGAAGGTCACATTGGGCTACAGGAGAAGAAGAGAAGAAGAAGACGGGGTTAATGAGCGATGGGGGTGGATGTTTGTGTGTTTGTGTGTGCACATGTATGTCCATGTGAGATTTGCAAGGCTGATTTAATCATTTAAACGTCTCTCTCAGAGAAGACCTGGCAGCCCGTCGGCACATACTTGTAAGTACACACACAGTGCACACACATACAAATAACCGTGCTACTCAGATGTACACAGACAACTACTGTAGCTGGCGAATTAGCAGCTAACAGCGGGGAACATGCTAGCACTATTCCGTCACAATAGAGAGCCAAAATAATTAAGTGGTATAATTTCATTGGGAGCTGTTTTTAAAGGCTAACAAATTGTTATGCAGCTTTGACAAAGCACTGTGCTGTAGATAACATTATATCTTACAATATAGACCATTAAATCTACACACTTCAGAAAGACGCTTTCAGACACACTAATTAAATAAATGCTGAATGAGAGTCGGCATTGATTTACAGAAGCTAGTGGAGCAAAGGCTAGCCCAGAGGTGAATTCTATATTCTACCTCTCTCGCTGGCATTTTGACCGCAGGATTGTGCATAATTTTATTCAACAGAGAGTTACTGAAGAGGAAAAGAGGCTCTTTGACTGAGCTAGCTTGTGCGACCCAGTGGCCACTCCTGGTATTGGCTTCATTTTATACAGTGGAAGGAAGTGGGGATGTGTTATTCATCTTTATACAATCTATGTTTCACACCAGGCTGCCAAGAAGTTGACGGGACTTTGAAGCCAGTTTAACATAGTGGCCAAATCATGTAACTACAACTTACGGGTTCATCACATGATGCCACTGGGCCCAAAAATACTTTGTCCAATAGACTTGCATTGTGAAAGAGACATCTGAAAATCACTGGATATATTTTTTTAACAACACAACCCTCATGAAATGACTCGTTTCACTATCGGAATTTGATTCATTCAGCCCGATAACATTTTAAAAGTCTAGAAGAGCCGCACAATGAAATTATTTTATCCCCATTTAAATTAGCAGAGGGCTTAACTGGAAGTTAGCTACTTGCACGGCAAACTTTATCAAAGTGTACTTGCTCTATTGGCCCAGCAATGCAGAAGGCCCAGGGAATTTTACACCTAGGAAGTCCAACTTTTTTTTTGCACATCCTTGTTTCACACAGTTTATTGGGAATACATATTGCACCATCGACTCCTGTCTCATAACTCTTGAACATGTATTTCTCATTTGCAGAGCAGATAATATAAAGTAGGGTTATATTAAAGTGGATGATGCAACACACAAGCTAACAAGTTACCAAGCTACAAAAGCTTTCACCATTTTGGATTTTCCAGCTCTCTTTTTACTTAAAGGTCAGCACTGTCAGGCTCGGGGGTTGATCAATGGCATGAATTCATGAGCCAAAGTCAACAAAGTTGCACTTGATGTGAAAAATGTGCAGAGATTTCCTTGATTCTTCGTTTTAATTGCTGCTCAATACACACATGAAACACACACACTGACATATGAAGCCATACGCATCTGCACACACACCTGACCCCTTAAGGCTCACATTCATTAGATCACACTGCAGATCACATAACTACCTGCCAAGTCCCAGCCAGTGTGTGTGTGTGGTTCATGTGTATGTGTGTCGAGGCTAAGATTCATGTCAACATCAATGGCTCACTAATCACGATGAGAGTGCCGAGGGCCAAGCAGAAACTGGCAGTAACGTATGGGCCAGCTAGTGTTACACAGAGGGAGCATACAAAGGCTACACCAAAACCTCTGACACCATCATAGTTCATTCACTGCTGTCAATAAATTAGATACTGGAAACTCAGCTACACTCTGGGCACACTGTGCTGCACTATATCGACTGGAAACGCTGTGACGCTCATCAGACTTTATTGATTGAACACGAGAAACCCCACAAACCTTGACATAACTCTTATGAAAAAAGGAATCAGAAATCTAAAAAAACATGTCTCTAATTTGGACTTTTTGGCAAATTTATCTGAATGACATGATACCCTTGGTCTTGTCAACAAAAACAGCTCAGTTTTAATCTTTGTGACAAGCCAATAGGTTTTCAAATGGCTTATTTATCCAAAGAAGTAGAACGATTTTCTCAACCCATAAAAGATCATTTAATCCTTCATGGTTTTCACTGGGAGGTGACAATATGAAACCTGCTATTGACTTTCTTTTCTAAAGGGAGACAGCACCCAAAGACGGGATAAATCCTCTTTTGATGGTTGCAAGAAAATAAAAAGCAGGTTACGTAAAAATCTAAAACTCCCTTTGATGGCAGGTCCTTCAAGATCGAGTTAGTTTAATTAAATGTGCTGCAGAGTGGATTTAGTCTTAATGGGGAACCTCACGGCTATGAGTAACTCACCATATGAGTGTGTGTATGTGTGTGTTAGCTGCTTCTGTTAGAGCATTTAACCCTTCGCTGAGTGTCTCCACCTGGGACTGAACCAGCGGCGTGTCTGCTGAAGCTTTAACAGCAGCAGAATAACTTTAAAGGCTGTTAGGAAAAATAAATCTCTCCAAAATGAAATATACTGCTGCTACTGAGGCCACTGGCTGGGTTACCTATAGGACTAGATGAGCCCAAACACACATACACACACACCCACACACACACACACACACACACGACTATGTGACAACACAGCAGCATACTGGCCATCTCTGGTGGATTTTTCCTAAATAAGTAAGTCATCCAGACCTCAGCTTTCCATTGGCTTCATCCAGGAGAACACAGCAGCCAAAAGCCTGCAAGGCTCGCAAGGCTCCACACAAATACACACACGCACACACACACACACACACACACACACACACACACACACACACACACAAATATGCATGCACGTCTACACACAAACCACTGCACACACATTCTTCCAAAAAACACAGAAACACACAGACACACACGAGGCTGAAAAGGATAAAGAGGGGCAGAGTGGAGGGGGAATAGAGGGGTCTGGTTAAAAAGCAGGATTTCAAGAACACCTGCACACGCACACACAAACACACACACACACCTCCAGCTGCTGGCTGCCTGTGTGTATGACAGGCAGCACAGTGAGTGGCTGCATGGAAGCAAGCCAGCCGCTTATGAATCAGCAATGACTAACAGTTTAAACCTGCACTTTCTGAGCTAATCGTTTGCATGCTTATTGTAAATGTATGTGTGTGTGCATGTGGGTGGATGTGTTGTATACCCACATGTGTGAGCATGGCAGAGTGTGTGTCCGCACCTAAATGTGTGTTGATGCCTGCATGCTGCCGCTATAGGAGCCTTTCTTCTATCAGGCCCAATTGTGACAGCCCGGGACTTTAATTGCTTTGCACCAAATTTGACATTGTCTAAGTTGACAGCACCCTGATGAGCAGAATAAAAGTGGAGTGACGATGTACCCGTCACTTCCTCCAATCTGCCTCGACAAGAGCACAACTCTGTGCTCCGTTTGATCGCTGCACAAGACAACGCAATGGGATGCTAATGGCATGCAAAGGCCCAAGCTTTGAGCGTGTGCCAAAGTGTGTGGGTCTGCCTTGTAAGAGTGCGCGCGAGTGTGTGTGTGTGTGCGTGCCAGTAATGGCAGCTCTAATCAGCAGCAGGATTGGAAGAGGCATGTGGCAATAAAGCCCAACAAAATGCCTGCCAGTCCCTATTAGAGCCAAGCACTCTCCCAAAATGTGGCTGAAGACACACACATATATACGCGCGCACACACTCCATCTTGGTGGACATCTGGCCAAGGTCAGAGTTAGATCTGAGCAATGAATGCCAACTTCAAACCCCCTCATCATCCCACCCACACCTCCAGCACCTCCACCACTCACACCCCTTTACAAAAAAAAAGAAAAAAGATTGAGCTGCAAAGCTGACTTTACAGTCTTTGTCGTCCCAAGTGATTTGGTCGTAAACTCTGACCCCTCTAAGTGCAGCCCATTACACACGGGTTGTGATTTACAAGCTAAAATTAGAGGTGGCCGCCATTTGCTGGGGCCATTATCAGCGCTGAGGCACGACAGAGTCAGATCCCTCATGGGAGTCGTCCATCTATATTCTACTGAGGGATCGATTATTCAGTGTGCCATAGAAAAATGACCAATATACTGCTGACGGTTCAGCATTTGTCTTCTTCATGCTTTGTCCTGTATGTGAAATACTGTGTCTGCTCTTTGTTACTATTCCTTTTATAGGGTTTGAGAGATATGAGGCTTCGAAGATTATTATTGATTATTATTGACACAACAGAAATGGCTGATGTTATTCTGTATGCTCAATACTTTAAATTTGATAATTTTATGTTAATAAAGCCCTTACTGGGGCGACATCTAGCTCGCTTGGTAGAGCATGCCCCCATATAGGGTGCATCCTTTGCAACAGTCCGAGTGCGATTCCAACCTGCAGGTCTTTGCTGTATGTCATCTCTACTCCCTTTTCTGTCACTCTCTAGCTGCACTGTGATAAAGGCAATAAAAGCCCTAAATAACAGAGTTATCACCTTATGTTTGCAAGGCAGTCGAGTTGCAGTTACAGTTTACATCCATGGCTGTCCAGACTCATATGTTGTCATGACAGTTGACAATGCCTTTAATATGGACATTGCTACAAAGACGTAAGGACTACATATTCTAAAACCTGAATCCTTCACATACATCTTCAACGCGGCAGCACAGAGGATCTATATAATCACCACAGTTTTAAGATGGGCACCCAAGATTAATGTCACCAATTCAGCATTCGACCAAATGTCTCTCCTTCTGTTCCTGAGATACAGCGTGGAATATTGGCCAGAAAAGTGAAGAATGAAGAAAATGATGTCACAGTGAAGCTGACCTTTGATCTTTTGGATGTAAAATGTCATCACTTCATCATTTTATCCTGTTAGACATTTTTGTGAAATGTTGCCATAATTAGTATATGAATTCCTGAGTTACGGCCAAAAACCAAATTACAGTCAATTCATTGTTCAGTCCAAGTGGC